ACTGAACCCACTCCCAGAGATCACCTTTCAGCCAAACAATAGCCAGGCCTACAAAGTACACAAACACCCATGAGGAACATGCTCCTTAGAACAATCAACCATACAAAACCAAAAGGGAAGCATCTGCCCAAAAACAAAGTGAGAAGGCAGGAAGGACAAATGGAAACAGGAAACCCAGGGAGGAGGTGGAAGAGTGCTGTTACACTGTGGGGACTGCAACCAATGCCATGCAACAAAGTATACACAAAATGTTAAATGAAAAACTAAGTTGTTCAGTAAACTTCAACCCAAACCACAATTAAATGTTCAAAAAAATTTTTTAGGAGGAAGAAGGTAAGAAAGAGGGGCTGTTGATCCAAAATTCCCATCTATCACAGCAAAAAAAAAAAAAATCACCAGACAATATTAGAGTTCACAAAACAAGACACAGCAATATAAGCACTTTATTGAAAGTATGAAGATAAATACCATCAAGAACTATTAACAATTCCAGGGGATGGGGCATGGGACTTACGTTCTTCATTAGGAACATATGTGTGCTATCTGCTGTTTTAAACCATGTGCATGTAGCTCTTTGTTAGAAACTTTCCTTTAACTTAACAAAGGTGTATCAGAGAAAGGAGGAATTCCTCAATATCTTCCCATTATTCTTAGGTGTTGATGTTGTTAGGTGCCAAGTAGGTGACTGCAACTCACAGCTGCCCTATGTGAACAAGCAGAACTAACTGGCAGCACAAGCAGACAGTCCACTAATACCTACTGAATGGATGCACTCTCACAACTTTCACTGTCACCTCTCTCAGAGACCCCCAGTTTCCATCTGCGATCCATTCCTGCTACTGCAATTTAGTCCCACATTTCCAACTGCCTCCTGAGTACTTCAACTTCAATACCTCACTCAATACACATTAACTAGTATTATCTAAACTCTGCTGCAGATTAACTTTCAGAAAGCTTGTGTCACACAATTCTAAACATACCAACCTTCAAAGGCAGCCAAGAGAAATGTCAATTTAAGAAAACAGTGAACACACTGTAAAATTCTCAGGTCTTTTGTGTCCCAAAGGAGCTCTGGTGGCACAGTGGTTAAAGCATTTGGCTGCTATCCAGCAGCTCCGCAAGGAGAAAGATGAGGCAGCCTGCTTCCATAAAGATTTACAGGCTTGGAAACCCTATGGGGCAGTTCAACTATGTCCTATAGGGTCGCTATGAGTCAGAACAGACTCAGTTGCAGTGGGTTTAGGTCTTTTTCTTTTTTTATATATACTAATATAAAAAGA